GAGAGAGGAAGGAAGGAAATAGAGAAGTAAGAAAGGAGGGAAGGAAGGAGAAAGAAGGAAAGAAAATGCTAGAAGTTAGTATGTGTCTGTCTGTCACCATCCCAAAGAAAGAAAGAAAAGGGGAAGAAAACGTGAGAAGCTCGTTAGTGTTGGTTGCCATCCCATAGTCTTCCTGTCTCCAATGTATTCCTCCCTCTGCCTCCAAGTTCCATGTACGCCCAGGGGCGATCCCGCGCCTTTTGAGGGCTTTTTTTTTTTTTTTTTTTCAGCCAGAAAAAAAAACACTCCGTTGGTTCTCCCACGTAGTAAAACTGAGTTGCACTTTCCTTCATAATTTTGAACAACTGGCTGTTATGCATGTCATGGAGGTTCTTCAGAGCACAGATTGAGGGATCCCTCATCATACTTGGGTAGAGAAGACGGAAGATGTGGACACCAGCCCAGAACTCAGACCCAATGGGTGTGCCTCCCAGTTCTTACCTCCCCTGCTGCAGGGAATAACAAGCAAGTTGATCCCGCGCCTTTTGAGGGCTTTTTTTTTTTTTTTTTTGCCAGCCAGAAAACAAAACACTCCGTTGGTTATCCACAGTAGGCAAGATGAGTGTCCTAGATTGTCTGTCATCTCTTTCCTTTTGAACTCTCCCAGGAAAGCTACTACATAACGCAACAGCGATTCCACAGCTGTACACATTACAGTGCAGTTTTCTCCCACTTGCCTTAAAGCGAAGTTCCTTGTTTAAAAATGACCTAGAAGCGAACTTGCAGTGACATTTAAAATTATACAGATTGCAAAAGCAAATGCTGCATTTTTGCATGGGCTGGAGTTATTTGTCTTCCTGTGTTTGCTTTAGGCAAGCGTGAGGAGAAGGAAAAAGCACGGGCTTTGCAGTCAGCAGCAGTGTGGAGGATAAACACCCAGCACCCCGAGCTGAGTGCTCTGACCTTGGAAGACTGGGGCCCTCAGTCTCCTGCTCCATTAAATGGGGATTCTGAGTTGACCTCATGGAATTACCCTGGGTCTTTGGTAAAATGACCTAGTGAGTTGCCTGGCTGTTCTGTCACAGCAACAATCTGTTAACAATGTCAGTCCTGTCACATAGAAGTGTAGACACTGGGGCTGGGGGAGATGGCTCGGTCAATAGGGTACTTGCCACTCAAACATGAGGACCTGAGTACTGCTCCCCAGCACCCATGTAAAAAACTGGGCACTTGGGCTGGAGAGACTCAGTGGTTAAGAATACTTACTGTTCTTACAGAGGACCCAGGTTCGATTTCTACCACCCACATGGTGTCTAACAACCATCTGTTAGGGTATCTAACACCCTCTTCTGGCCTCTGTGGGCATTGAACACACATGGTATACTTACATACATGCAGGCAAAACACTCATACACATAAAAATAATAAATAAAATATTTAAAAACTGCGCTCTGTGATATGTGCCTATTATCCTGATGCTAGGGAGACAGAGGCAGACATCCCTGGACTTCACTGGCCTCCCAGTCTGGCAAGTAGGGGAGCTTTATCACAAGATTGTAAGAACTGGAAGATGGGGACAAGTGTTATGAAACACTGTCTTCTGACTAGCACATGACCAATGCAACCATGATTGCATCCAGCTGTGGTCACACACACACACACACACACACACACACACACACACACTCACACGCACACACTTTTTGAAATTAAATCTTTTTTTTTAAAATTCAGGTAGAGCTCTGAAAGAAAGAAAGAAATCAGGTAGATCTCTGGTCTCTGCATGCAGGTGCAAGCATGTGAATGTGCAGTCTTACATGTGTGCATACACATGAACACATATGAAACATTTTCATAAATGAAACTGTTGACAAGGAATGAGATGCTATATCCCACATTAAACACTAATGATGGTACCAGAACTTTTCCTACAATGCAGGCACACCCACCTCCTGCTCCCCAGGACCTGTAATCAACCCCTCAGCTCCAGCAACAGCCCAGCCATTCTCAGGACCCTGGAAGGACTTGTGTTGTGTTCTGAGAAGCCCTTGCCTTCCCATTTCCTTTTTGGGGTGCCTTACCCCTGGATACAGGTATCCCAGACCACAGGACCTGTCCACTTTTTATGACCCCTTTCTTCTGCTTGGCGTGTTTCCCAGTTAGGGAAAATGGGCTCATCTGAAAGCAGCAGAACAATTCAAAATTCCTTTTTATAAGAATAAAGCCACCTCTCTTGTTCTCTGGACTTAACTGCTTCAAGTTCAGGTGGTAGAATAATAAATGCAGAGTCCAAACACCATTTGGGGAAGAATGGTCTCTCAAGTGCAGGTTTTGAAGTTAGAATGTTCTAGAGATCCACTTAAGTCTCAACTTATGAGTGCTTGGTCACTCATCTGTGGATCTTGCTGGGCTGCTCCTCCAGCATGAAACAGACTGTATTCCTTACCCTGGAGTCCACAAACAGTAGTTTGCTCTCATGTGCCGCCTGTCAGCCACCACTAGGTGGCAGCAGAGTCTGTGGCGGCCCGGAAGCCAGGGGCAGAGTCTCTGAGTCATTTGTTCATCTCCTAGCGTGGGTGCTGGCCCACTTGCAGTGGCCCACGTCAGTGTCCTTTAGCTTAAAGTCAAATATTTTAGCTTGTAAGTGGTATGTCACTTACCGGCACTCAAAAGTGAACTTGGGATTGCTAGCATCTAACACTTTGACTTAGTTTAAAAGTCAGCCTAATTATTCCAAAGCCAAAGCCACTGCACTTTATCTTGGTTTTGTGCTTTGTTTTGGTGTGTGTGTGTGTGTGTGTGTGTGTGTGTGTGTGTGTGTGATATGTAGTGCTTACTAATTGGCTACACTGGCTGGCCAGGGCGTTCCTAGTATCCACCTGTCTCCACCCCTCCTCCCAGGGCTGGGGCTACAGGCATGCACCACTATATCTGGAGGTAGAAATCAGGTCCTTCAGCTTTCACAGCCAGCATCTCACCTACTGTGCCATCACCCTAGCCCCCATCTTGCTGGTTTCTAGAATATAATGGTGTATCAACACTTCAGAAAACAGCCCTGTTTATTTGTCAAGGATTATCTTTGAAAGCTCAGAACTGAAAGGTAGAGAGCAAGTTTTAGAAGGTCCTCTGATGCCTCCTGGCACACTGCCATTGCACAGCCTCCTTTGTTGGGCTCTGGTGAGGTTCTGAAATAAACTGCTTCTCTAACCAATTACAGGGACAGCCCCTGCTCAGCAGGGGTCTGGAGGAGCTGTCCTTTTGCACCTGGCACTACCAGAGCTTTGGAGGCACAGAGACACCCATGGCAGGAATGTGGGGATCACTTTGTCATGGGGAAGTCCCCTCTTTTCATCCTGAAGGCTGGATTATATGGGATTGGACAATGCCGCTAACAGTACAAAAACTTATGCTTGTCTCACAATTATTTTGAAAATTAAGAAATTTCATAGTTAGGTAGTTGGGTTCTCTAGAGGAACAGAGCTGATAGAATGAATAGATACCACAAAAGGGGATTCACTAGATTGATTTACATGATAGGGCCTGGGGAGTCCAGTGGTCGCCATTGGCATGCTGGAGACTGGGAGCCCAGTAGCTGCTCAGTCCACAAGGCTGGATGCCTCAGGAGTCCCAGTCTGATGCTGTAGGCTTGGGACATTCTTGGAGCGCCACTGATCTTCATTCTACATGGAAGGCTGAAGAATCTGGGTGCTGATGTCAGTGAAGGATGGAGCAACAGTGTCAATAGCAACAGGGCAGACACTCATTAGCAAGAAGATGAGGCAGCAACACTGCTTTTCCCAGGCTCCTCTTTATACTGGGCTGCACATTGCAAGATGCCACCCACCCTGAGGCCAGTTCTTCCCCCTGCCCCTCAGTTAATCCTCTCTAGAAATGCCCTTGCAGATGTATCCACCAGTGTGTCTTCTAGGTGATTCCAGATCCCATCAGTTTGACAATCAGGATTAACCATCACAAGCAGCAAAACAGAATAAAGCTCAGAGCGCTGGAGGCTCTGTGGTTTCTCTGCTTAGTCTGCTTGGTTTCTCTTTTCAGGTCTGGCTGATGATAGGGAGTGGAGATGGGGTTAGGATAGGAGCCTGAATGTGGCATAGTGACAGGGTTTCCTTATACCTCTAGGGACTCCCCCAGCATCTTCAGTATCCAGCCCCATCAGCACTCTGCAGATATGTTTAATGCATGCCCTACAGCTGGAGATACATCCAGATTAAGACACTGAGGAGAGGACTGGGGAGATGGCTCAGTCCTTCAAAGTGTTTGTTGCATAAACATGAGGATTTGAGCCCCAGAACCTATGTAAGAAAATCTGGGTTTGGTGGTTTGTACCTGTAATTCTGGGGAGGTGGGAAAAGAGCCCTAGGGTCAGCCTAATCTCATTGAGTTCTAGGTAAGATATATATATATATATCAGAATTGAAGATGCAGCTCAGTGGTACAGTGCTTGCCTAGACAGAAGGCTATGTTCAAGCTTCCATCTCAATAAGCTACTCTGTCTCCTTAATCCGGCAACCTTAAGGAAGGCCAGATACTTGCATCTTTGCCCTTCAGGCCCCAGTGTATTTCTATCAAATATGGGGGACTGGGGATGTGGAGAACGGGGAATATGGGTGACACTGGGATACTCTGCTCCTTTGCAGTAAACCTCCTATGATCTTCCTGTCTCTCGCAACTATTACACAGTTGTTAGCTGCCATATGGGTACTAGGATTCTAACCCGGGTCTTCTGCAAGAACAGTCAGTGTTCTTAACTGCTGAGCCATCTCTCCAGCCCCCACATTTCCTTTTATACTTAACCTGTCCTTCTCAACTTCTATGCATGTGTGTGCATTATATGCATGCCTGTGGAGATCAGAGGTCAACATCCGATATCTTAGTTGCTGTCTATATATATATATCCTAGTTTCATTTCTGTTGTTGTGATAAAATACCTTGACAAAATGTAACTTAAGGGAGAAAGGGGTTTATTTCAGCTTGTAATTCCAGGTTACCATTGATTGTTGCAGGGAAGTCAAGGCAGGAACTTGAAGCCTTACATTCACAAGAGCGGAGAAAGATCCTTGCTTACATGCTCTCAACTAGCTTTCTTGTCTTTTATACCATTCTGGACCCCTGCTTACAGAAAGAAGCCACCCACAATGTGCTGAGTCTTCCTACATCTTTTAACTATCAAGGCAGTCTCTGCAAAACATGCCCACAGGCCAACCTGATCTAGGCAATCCTTCAGCAGAGACTCCTTTCTGAGGTTGTGACAAGTTGATATTTGAAACTATCACGATATATAGTTTGAGATAGGATCTCATGTAGGCCAGGCTGGCCTTGAACTAGCTGTGTAGTGGAGGATAATCTTGAACTTTTGACCCTTCTGCCTCCATCTTCGCACTACAGACATTGGCCTCCACACCTGGTTTATGCAGTCCTGGGAGTTAAACCTAGGATTTCATATATGCTAGGCAAGCTCTCTACCAACTGAGCTTCATCCCTGTGGGAGACAGACTTGAGCCTAGGGTGATATTACAACTGTCAGGGTCACATGGTTTCCAGGAATCCAGGCTCTGTAATCTAAAACCCAGAATGCTAATGAGACATCCTACCCGCTATTCTGTGATAGGACGTTAAGTCTGTTATGCTAAT